TGTACGGAGCACCAGCAGGTGTTTGTACGGAGCACCAGCAGGTGTTTGTACGGAGCACCAGCCAGCAGCAGGTGTTTGTACGGAGCACCAGCAGGTGTTTGTACGGAGCACCAGCAGGTGTTTGTACGGAGCAACAGCAGGTGTTTGTACGGAGCACCAGCAGGTGTTTGTACGGAGCAACAGCAGGTGTTTGTACGGAGCAGCAGCAGGTGTTTGTACGGAGCACCAGCAGGTGTTTGTACGGAGCACCAGCAGGTGTTTGTACGGAGCACCAGCAGGTGTTTGTAGAGAGCACCAGCAGGTGTTTGTACGGAGCACCAGCAGGTGTTTGTACGGAGCACCAGCAGGTGTTTGTAGAGAGCACCAGCAGGTGTTTGTAGGAGCACCAGCAGGTGTTTGTACGGAGCACCAGCAGGTGTTTGTACGGAGCACCAGCAGGTGTTTGTACGGAGCACCAGCAGGTGTTTGTAGAGAGCACCAGCAGGTGTTTGTACGGAGCACCAGCAGGTGTTTGTAGAGAGCACCAGCAGGTGTTTGTAGAGAGCACCAGCAGGTGTTTGTAGAGAGCACCAGCAGGTGTTTGTACGGAGCACCAGCAGGTGTTTGTAGAGAGCACCAGCAGGTGTTTGTAGAGAGCACCAGCAGGTGTTTGTAGAGAGCACCAGCAGGTAATTGTACGGAGCACCAGCAGGTGTTTGTACGGAGCACCAGCAGGTGTTTGTACGGAGCACCAGCAGGTGTTTGTACGGAGCACCAGCAGGTGTTTGTAGGGAGCAACAGCAGGTGTTTGTACGGAGCACCTGCAGATGTTTGTACGGAGCACCAGCAGGTGTTTGTAGGGAGCACCAGCAGGTGTTTGTACGGAGCACCAGCAGGTGTTTGTACGGAGCACCAGCAGGTGTTTGTACGGAGCACCAGCAGGTGTTTGTACGGAGCACCAGCAGGTGTTTGTAGAGAGCACCAGCAGGTGTTTGTACGGAGCACCAGCAGGTGTTTGTACGGAGCACCAGCAGGTGTTTGTACGGAGCACCAGCAGGTGTTTGTACGGAGCACCAGCAGGTGTTTGTACGGAGCACCAGCAGGTGTTTGTACGGAGCACCAGCAGTTGTTTGTACGGAGCAACAGCAGGTGTTTGTACGGAGCACCAGCAGGTGTTTGTACGAAGCACCAGCAGGTGTTTATACGGAGCAGCAACAGGTGTTTGTACGGAGCAGCAACAGGTGTTTGTACGGAGCAGCAGCAGGTGTTTGTACGGAGCACCAGCAGGTGTTTATACGGAGCAGCAACAGGTGTTTGTACGGAGCAGCAACAGGTGTTTGTACGGAGCAGCAGCAGGTGTTTGTACGGAGCACCAGCAGGTGTTTGTACGGAGCAGCAACAGGTGTTTGTACGGAGCAGCAACAGGTGTTTGTACGGAGCAGCAACAGGTGTTTGTACGGAGCAACAGCAGGTGTTTGTACGGAGCAGCAACAGGTGTTTGTACGGAGCAGCAACAGGTGTTTGTACGGAGCAGCAACAGGTGTTTGTACGGAGCAACAGCAGGTGTTTGTACGGAGCAGCAACTGGTGTTTGTACCGAGCAACAGCAGGTGTTAGTACGGAGCAGCAGCAGGTGTTTATACGGAGCAGCAACAGGTGTTTGTACGGAGCAGCAACAGGTGTTTGTACGGAGCAGCAACAGGTGTTTGTACGGAGCAGCAACAGGTGTTTGTACGGAGCAACAGCAGGTGTTTGTACGGAGCAGCAACAGGTGTTTGTACGGAGCAGCAACAGGTGTTTGTACGGAGCAGCAACAGGTGTTTGTACGGAGCAACAGCAGGTGTTTGTACGGAGCAGCAACTGGTGTTTGTACCGAGCAACAGCAGGTGTTAGTACGGAGCAGCAGCAGGTGTTTGTACGGAGCAGCAACAGGTGTTTGTACGGAGCAGCAACAGGTGTTTGTACGGAGCAACAGCAGGTGTTTGTACGGAGCAGCAACAGGTGTTTGTACGGAGCAGCAACAGGTGTTTGTACGGAGCAGCAACAGGTGTTTGTACGGAGCACCAGCAGGTGTTTGTACGGAGCACCAGCAGGTGTTTGTACGGAGCACCAGCAGGTGTTTATACGGAGCAGCAACAGGTGTTTGTACGGAGCAGCAACAGGTGTTTGTACGGAGCAGCAACAGGTGTTTGTACGGAGCACCAGCAGGTGTTTATACGGAGCAGCAACAGGTGTTTGTACGGAGCACCAGCAGGTGTTTATACGGAGCAGCAACAGGTGTTTGTACGGAGCAGCAACAGGTGTTTGTACAGAGCAGCAACAGGTGTTTGTACGGAGCAGCAACAGGTGTTTGTACGGAGCAGCAACAGGTGTTTGTACGGAGCAGCACCAGGTGTTTGTACGGAGCAGCAACAGGTGTTTGTACGGAGCACCAGCAGGTGTTTATACGGAGCAGCAACAGGTGTTTGTACGGAGCAGCAACAGGTGTTTGTACGGAGCAGCAGCAGTATGAGCCTCGCAGGAAATACATTAGCAGAAAATATTGGTGAATTATGAGAGTTTTAAGTCAACTCAAAGAGTAGATAAAGCTCTCTACTGTATTTTGTATTAATATATAAGAAAGCACAACTATATCAGATACAGCACAACTTGTAATTTTTATTAATGACAGAATAAAGGTAACAGAGAAGCTAGTGGAACTTAACCCAAATGGACATAGGAGGTGAAAATATATTTATAAATTCCGCAAAGCGATGGACAAGTTATCTTGAGGTTATCTTGAGATGATTATGGGGCTTTAGAGTCCCCGCGGCCCGGTCCTCGACCAGGCCTCCACCCCCAGGAAGCAGCCCGTGACAGCTGACTAACACCCAGGTACCTATTTTACTGCTAGGTAACAGGGACATAGGGTGAAAGAAACTCTGCCCATTGTTTCTCGCCGGCGCCTGGGATCGAACCCAGGACCAGAGGAACACAAGTCCAGCGTGCTGTCCGCTCGGCCGACCGGCTCCCTTAGTTAAGCGCAATGATTTGCAGAAAAGTTGCCGTGGGCAATACATTAAAGGGAAAGAACTAGCCGTTAATGTTGACCATGAGGTTCGCCATTTCCATTACATTTCTATAGAGACGTGTTGCGCAGTAACGCTCTGACAATGGATAATGCCACGCATGTGGTCACGAAGACCGGCCTATTTATGAGCAGGAAGTCTTCACCACAGACAGTTTAACTGCTTCTTGAAAAACTCAAACACCCTTCAAGGAGCGCCTTATCACACTGATGTTGGTTGTTAAGTCTCAGTACACCAGCACCTTAATATTCTCTATAATCAAATCAAATCAAATGTTTATTCAGGTAAGGAACATACATACAAGGTGAAATACAAAACATTGATGGATTTATAGATAGAGTTAGTACATACAATGCCTAAAGCCACTATCACGCAAAGCGTTTCATAATGCAATGCATCTCAATATGGAACAGCGAGGAAAGGCTGTGGATGAACTGATGATTAGGTTTGGGTTCGAGATCTGAATTTTAGGACCTTAATGGTGACTTTACGATGAAAGTCTGGGGTTTTGAGGCAATTAGAGAGTTGAGAGACAGTTGCTGAATGCAATCTTTCACACTCTGCAACCGTAACTTACAGCAAGACACACCTGACTTCAGTGTTCCCCACAGATAACTGCAACAATCTTTCTAACGGAATGAGTTTCATGAAAAGTTTATGACTTTAAATATGTCGAATTATTTCAGTTTTGTTTTTCAAGGCCATTCAACATCGGAGTTAATGACCCACCTGAATCCTATCAGGTAGAAATAGTTGTTGAAATGTGATTATGTCTTGAGGGGAAAGAGCCCATGCTCGCCCATTTTATCTATATTCTCCCAGATTCCTGGGTTGTTTATCAAAGATCATAACAGTCTGGAAGAACACATGTCTGTGAACAGCGCTTGATCTTCAGTGAACATTAAGTTCCTGATACACACCTGAGTGTAATATTCCAGGATGCTGCAGCCAAGATTTTGTCTCCAGATGCCGGCCACAGAGGTGTTGAGTGTCAAGACGGAGACATACAAGGAGGTCTTCTTGCTCCTGGTGGGGGAGGTCCTCTTGCTCCTGGTGGGGGAGGTCCTCTTGCCCCTGGTGAAGAGGTCCTCTTGCCCCTGGTGAGGGAGGTCCTCTTGCCCCTGGTGGGGGAGGTCCTCTTGCCCCTGGTGGGGGAGGTCTTCTTGCCCCTGGTTGGGGGAGGTCCTCTTGCTCCTGGTGGGGGAGGTCTTCTTGCTCCTGGTGGGGGAGGTCTTCTTGCTCCTGGTGGGGGAGGTCTTCTTGCTCCTGGTGGGGGAGGTCTTCTTGCTCCTGGTGGGGGAGGTCCTCTTGCCCCTGGTGAAGAGGTCCTCTTGCCCCTGGTGAGGGAGGTCCTCTTGCCCCTGGTGGGGGAGGTCCTCTTGCCCCTGGTGGGGGAGGTCTTCTTGCCCCTGGTTGGGGGAGGTCCTCTTGCTCCTGGTGGGGGAGGTCTTCTTGCTCCTGGTGGGGGAGGTCTTCTTGCTCCTGGTGGGGGAGGTCTTCTTGCTCCTGGTGGGGGAGGTCTTCTTGCTCCTGGTGGGGGAGGTCTTCTTGCTCCTGGTGGGGGAGGTCTTCTTGCTCCTGGTGGGGGAGGTCCTCTTGCTCCTGGTGGGGGAGGTCTTCTTGCTCCTGGTGGGGGAGGTCTTCTTGCTCCTGGTGGGGGAGGTCTTCTTGCTCCTGGTGGGGGAGGTCTTCTTGCTCCTGGTGGGGGAGGTCTTCTTGCTCCTGGTGGGGGAGGTCTTCTTGCTCCTGGTGAGGGAGGTCCTCTTGCCCCTGGTGGGGGAGGTCCTCTTGCTCCTGGTGGGGGAGGTCTTCTTGCTCCTGGTGGGGGAGGTCTTCTTGCTCCTGGTGAGGGAGGTCCTCTTGCCCCTGGTGAGGGAGGTCCTCTTGCTCCTGGTGGGGGAGGTCCTCTTGCCCCTGGTGGGGGAGGTCCTCTTGCCCCTGGTGGGGGAGGTCATCATGCCCCTGGTGGGGGAGGTCTTCTTGCTCCTGGTGGGGGAGGTCTTCTTGCTCCTGGTGGGGGAGGTCTTCTTGCCCCTGGTTGGGGGAGGTCCTCTTGCCCCTGGTGGGGGAGGTCCTCTTGCCCCTGGTGGAGGAGGTCCACTTGCCCCTGGTGGAGGAGGTCATCATGCCCCTGGTGGGGGAGGTCCTCTTGCTCCTGGTGGGGGAGGTCCTCTTGCTCCTGGTGAGGGAGGTCCTCTTGCCCCTGGTGAAGAGGTCCTCTTGCCCCTGGTGGGGGAGGTCCTCTTGCCCCTGGTGGGGAGGTCCTCTTGCTCCTGGTGAGGGAGGTCCTCTTGCCCCTGGTGAAGAGGTCCTCTTGCCCCTGGTGGGGGAGGTCCTCTTGCTCCTGGTGGGGGAGGTCCTCTTGCTCCTGGTGAGGGAGGTCCTCTTGCCCCTGGTGAAGAGGTCCTCTTGCCCCTGGTGAGGGAGGTCCTCTTGCCCCTGGTGAAGAGGTCCTCTTGCCCCTGGTGAGGGAGGTCCTCTTGCCCCTGGTGAAGAGGTCCTCTTGCCCCTGGTGAGGGAGGCCCTCTTGCCCCTGGTGAAGAGGTCCTCTTGCCCCTGGTGAGGGAGGTCCTCTTGCCCCTGGTGAAGAGGTCCTCTTGCCCCTGGTGAGGGAGGCCCTCTTGCCCCTGGTGGGGGAGGTCCTCTTGCCCCTGGTGGGGGAAGTCCTCTTGCCCATAGTGGGGGAGGTCCTCTTGCCCCTGGTGGAGGAGGTCTTCTTGCCCATAGTGGGGGAGGTCCTCTTGCTCCTGTGCCGGGTAAGCCCACTACGGGCTCACCATAGCCCGCGCCACAATGCTCGGCCGCCAAGCTCGACTACACCTGACCTCCAACAACCTCATCACCTTCAAACTCCTCCACCAGCCCAACACTTACAAAAACTGGCTGTTTCATAAACAAAAACTCTACTTTTTTTGTCACTTTTTTTTATTTAGTCTAAAGCTCCAGCTCACGTCTGAAATGTTTTTGTTGCCCCGAACAAGAACTGGTTTTATGTTCACGAAACTTGACTTATTTTGAGCCCGCACGTCGGGACGGCTCGCTTGGGGCCTGGCGCACGTCGGGACGGCTCGCTTGGGGCCTGGCGCACGTCGGGACGGCTCGCTTGGGTCCTAGTGCACGTCGGGACGGCTCGCTTGGGGCCTGGTGCACGTCGGGACGGCTCGCTTGGGTCCTGGTGCACGTCGGGACGGCTCGCTTGGGGCCTGGTGCACGTCGGGACGGCTCGCTTGGGGCCTGGCGCACGTCGGGACGGCTCGCTTGGGTCCTAGTGCACGTCGGGACGGCTCGCTTGGGGCCTGGCGCACGTCGGGACAGCTCGCTTGGGGCCTGGCGCACGTCGGGACGGCTCGCTTGGGTCCTAGTGCACGTCGGGACGGCTCGCTTGGGGCCTGGTGCACGTCGGGACGGCTCGCTTGGGTCCTAGTGCACGTCGGGACGGCTCGCTTGGGGCCTGGCGCACGTCAGGACAGCTCGCTTGGGGCCTGGCGCACGTCAGGACGGCTCGCTTGGGTCCTAGTGCACGTCGGGACGGCTCGCTTGGGTCCTGGTGCACGTCGGGACGGCTCGCTTGGGGCCTGGTGCACGTCGGGACGGCTCGCTTGGGGCCTGGCGCACGTCGGGACGGCTCGCTTGAGTCCTGGTGCACGTCGGGACGGCTCGCTTGGGGCCTGGTGCACGTCGGGACGGCTCGCTTGGGGCCTGGTGCACGTCGGGACGGCTCGCTTGGGGCCTGGTGCACGTCGGGACGGCTCGCTTGGGTCCTAGTGCACGTCGGGACGGCTCGCTTGGGTCCTAGTGCACGTCGGGACGGCTCGCTTGGGTCCTGGTGCACGTCGGGACAGCTCGCTTGGGTCCTGGTGCACGTCGGGACGGCTCGCTTGGGTCCTGGCGCACGTCGGGACGGCTCGCTTCGGACTTGACGCACGTAGGGACGGTTCACGTGGAACCTGCGGCACGTAGCGACGGTTCACGTGGGACTTGACGTACGTACGGGCGTACGACAAAAGCTTGTATATATACCTGTGTATGAGAGTTAGGAGGTAGAGAGTGCTGGAGGATAGAGAGGTAGTGTGGTCCATAGGTCATCAAGCAGGCCTCAGGAGGGAGACAGAGTGAATTCACCCAAGTCGTAGAGCCCAGAGCCGTAGAGTCGTAGAGTCACCCAAGTCGTAGAGCAGGACCCGGAAGGTAATGTGTGTGATCTTTGATATTTTCCCATGTGTAATGTCTAAACAATTGCCAGTGGTAGGATAGAGACTTATAGTTTGGTGGATATCATGTTTATGTTCTCAATAAATCAATATTAAACCTTCTATCTGTGTCACTTAATGGTACCTTTCTAATTCCTCTTTTGTTAACAACCGGTCAGTAATTATTGACAGTTAGAAAAGGACTCTCAAGGCCAAGCAATGGCTCTTGCCTCATTGCTTGATATAACTAAGTGACAGACAAGATGGAGGCAGTGGTTTCATAAAGTGGTTTCTCTGTGTAGCATTTCCTTGGAAAGTTACCATTGGTTCCGGTTCTAATCATCAGTGGTACACCATATTTCAGAACTATATCAGTGGTGTTGAACTATACACCATATCAGTGGTGTTGAACTATACACCATATCAGTGGTGTTGAACTATACACCATATCAGTGGTGTTGAACACCTTCTGATATAGGAGGACCTCAGTGGTGTTAAACTATACACCATATCAGTGGTGTTGAACACCTCCTGATATGGGAGGACAGTAGTGGTGTTGAACACCACCTGATATGGGAGGACAGTAGTGGTGTTGAACACCTCCTGATATGGGAGGACAGTAGTGGTGTTGAACACCACCTGATATGGGAGGACAGTAGTGGTGTTGAACACCTCCTGATATGGGAGGACAGTAGTGGTGTTGAACACCTCCTGATTTGGGAGGACAGTAGTGGTGTTGAACACCTCCTGATATGGGAGGACAGTAGTGGTGTTGAACACCTCCTGATATGGGAGGACAGTAGTGGTGTTGGAGTGGGTCAAGGAATGGGTTTATTTGTTCACTGGAGGATGAAGGAGGCTGCAAGGATTGTATCCAGTAAAATGTGAGAAAATTAGGAGGTGGAGACACTAGCCCGTGCGGCCATAGTGCACCTGGAAGAGCTATGTGTTACACTGCACTATGTGTTACTAAGCACGTGTTACACTGCACGTGTTACAGAGCACGTGTAACAGAGCACGTGTTACAGAGCACGAATAACAGAACACGTGTTACAGAGCACGTGTTACACTGCACGAATAACAGAGCAAGTGTAACAGAGCACGTGTAACAGGCCAGGAGCCAGAGATGACAGAGTAGGGTGTGGGGGGGGGAGGAAACGGAATTTTGCGTTGAGTGAATTCAGTTGTGTTCAATCATGAGTGAGTAGAGGACGCGAGAGTGTACTCACCTATTTGTGCTTGCAGGATCGAGCATTGACTCATGGATCTCGCCTTTCTAGATGGTTGTTTTACAGCAATGACTCCTGTCCCATTTCCCTATCATACCTAGTTTTAAAATTATGAATAGAGTTTGCTTGCACAACCTATTGCTTAAGTGCATTCCATTTTTCCACTACTCTCACGCTAAAAGAATACTTTCTAACAGCTCTGTGACTCATCTGAGTTTCCAGCTTCCACCCATGTCCCCTCGTTCTGTTACTATTACGTGTGAATATGTCACCTATTTCCACTTTGTCAGTTCCTCTGAGTATTTTATATGTTCCTATCATATCCCCTCTCTCCCTTCTTTTTTCTAGTGTCGAAAGGTTCAGTTTCCTCAGGCGCTCTTCATATCACATCCCACGTAATTCTGGGCCAAGCCTCGTCGCAAACTTCTGAATCTTTTCCAGTTTCCTTATGTGTTTTTTCAGGTGGGGACTCCATGATGGCGCGGCATAATCTAAGACTGGTCTCACGTAGGCAGTGTAAAGCGCCCTAAAAGCCTACTCGCTTAGGTTTCTGAATGAAGTTCTAACTTTCGCCAGTGTAGAGTACGCTGGTTGATATCTGGTTACTTGGTTGATGGGGTTCTGGGCGTTCTTCTACTCCCCAAACCCAGCCAGAGGCCAGGTTTGACTTGTGAGAGTTTGGTCCACCAGGCTGTTGCTTGGAGCGGCCCGCAGACCCACATATCCACCACAGCCCGGTTGGTCCGGCACTCCTTGAAGGAAACAATCTAGTTTCCTCTTGAAGATATCCACTGTTGTTCCTGCAATATTTCTTATACTTGCTGGGAGAATGTTGAACAACCGTGGACCTCTGATGTTTATACAGTGTTCTCTGATTGTGTCTATGGCACCTCTGCTCTTCACTGGTTCTATTCTACATTTTCTTCTATATCGTTCACTACAGTACGTTGTTATTTTACTGTTTAGATTTGGGACCTGTCCCTCCAGTATTTTCCATGTGTATATTATTTAGTATCTCTCTCGTCTCCTTTATAGTGAGTACATATAAAGGTCTTTGAGAAGATCCCAATAATTTAGGTGATTTATTGCGTCTATGCGTATCGTATATGTTCCCTTTATTATCTCTGTTTCAGCAATCTCTCCTGCTCTGAAGGGGAAAGTGAGTACTGAGCAGTACTCAGGACGGGACAACACAAGTGATTTGAAGAGTACAACCATTGTGATGGGATCTCTGGACTTGAAAGTTCTCGTAATCCATCCTATCATTTTTCTGGCTGACGCAATACTTGCTTGGTTATGCTCCTTAAACGTTAGGTCGTCAGGCATCATTATTCCCAAATCCTTGACATGCTGTTTACCTACTATGGGCAGATTCGATTGTGTTTTGTACCCTGTATTATGTTCCAGATCATCAGTTTAACCGTATTTGAGTAACTGGAATTTATCACTGTTAAACATCATGATATTTTCTGCTGCCCAATCGAAAACTTTGTTAATATTTGTTTGTGGTTTTTTTTATGTCTTCAGCAGAGGTAATTTTCATGCTTATTTGTGTATCATCTGCAAAGGATAACACGAAGCTGTGACTTGTATTTTTGTCTATATCTGATATGAGAATAAGGAACAGCAGTGGAGCAAGGACTGTACCTTGAGGTACAGAGCTTTTAACTACGCTTGGACTCGATTTTATTTTTGACTGTTACTCTTTGTGTTCTGTTCGACTGGAAATTGAGTATCCAGCGTCCCACTTTACCAGTTATACCCATTGACCTCATTTTGTGTGCAATCACTCCATGGTCACATATGTCGAATGCCTTTGCAAAGTCTGTGTATACAACATCTGCATTATGTTTTCCTCTAATGCCTCAGTGATTTTGTCGTAATGGTCAAGTAGCTGGGAGAGGTGTACCGAAGGGGGGGGGTAGATGTGGAAGGTAGATAAATGTAAAGCAAAGTAAAGAGGAAGGAGGAGGGGAGGAGTAGGGATGAAGGATGGGTGGATATAAAACATGGACAAGGTTGAGGTAGGAGGGAGGTCAACGGAATAGAAAATGGAACGCGGACGGGAAGAGAGAAGGTAGGAGAGTCGAGAAGGAAGGAAGAGGAAGAGGAGGAGCGAGTAGAGAGAGTAGGAGTAGAGTGAGTATAGGAGTAGGAAAGAGTAGACTGACTAACTCTGTTAGTTCTAACTATGTTATACTAATGTTAATTTAACTTTACATATGTATAAGCTGCCACCATCCTGCCAGTTCTGCCACATTTTCCACATCTACTAAATAGTGCGGCCAGAAGCACCATTTACTGTA